GAGAATTGATTTACAGTAAAAAAATTTAATCACTCCCAAATAGGGCCTTAATGATTGAAGAACAAACTTTCTTCTACACTTTTTAGGAGATGATGAAAAGCTGTAATTAGCTCGTGAAAAATGTTATTTGTACATTCTATGTATGCATCAAAGTAGACATTGTATGAATTGTAAAATTTTGTGCCATGAATTATTCTAAGAGTCCGTTTGATTGTAAGGGTGGAAAATGGATGGAAATAAAATGAATTTTAGGAAAAATAAATGCTTAAAAATTGTTTTGTAGATAATTGTTAATTTAGTGTGTTCGATTGGTATAATTTTTCACCCCAAATTTTTTTAAATTTTGTATTCGTTTGACTTTGTTTTACATGGAAATTGTCAATTGAAGTTATACTTTTTTCCACAATTAGTTATAAAATTTGTTTCAATTGCCAAAAATGAAAAAAAAAATTTCCTAAAAATTTAATTTTTCATCAAAGTTTAGTATTCGATTGACTTTGTTTTACATGGAAACATAACATTAAAGTGATTTTTTTTTTACAATTAATTATGAAATTTGTTTCCATGACAAAAAATAAAAAAAACAAATAAATAATAATAATAAATAAAAAGCTGGAATTCAGATTTCCCACCAAAAAGGTGGGAAATCTAATTCCACCAAATCAAAGAAAAAGGGAGCATGAGGGGGAGAAAATTTTTTGCCTAGAAAATTGTGGCAATGAAACAAGCCAAAACCAAGAAATGTCATTGTAGCGGAACTGTTAGTTCGTAAAACTCTATCGTATCTTTATAAAGAAAAAATAGATGAAAGCAATGAAGAAAGAGACTTATAAATCCAATCAAGTAATGCTATCCATTATTCAATCAAGTTTGGAATTGACCGATCTTTTGGTAGATAAAAAGCAATTCTGAAATATTAAGGGTTTGTTCTCTTTACCATATTCAAGTCGTTTTTTGTTTTCAATTTTTCAAAATAGTGAAAACGTGTTCTCTTTCGAAAACGCATTTTCGAAAATAAGTTAAAAATTTACAAAGAAAATACAAGACGACAAATTTGTCGTTTTGAGTGTTTTCAGTTATAATCAAATCAAAATTTTCAAAACGCGTTTTGAGTATTTTCAAAACAATTATTCAAAATGTCAAAAAGAACATATTTTCAAAAATCTCAAAATGAATACTCAAGACACAAAACTGAGAATGAATTTAAAATTCAAAACACAAAACTGAAATACAATGAGAACAACCCCTAAGTTCTTACAATGAGGCAAAAAGACAAGTGGATTATTGAAGAATGTTAAATCTTTAATGACCTATTACACTCAAGTACTCGAATCTCGTGTATTTTAAACGTAGTAAGTAGTCTTTCTACTCAGAAGTCAATACTCCTCTGGCCGAGATAAACCAATCGAGGTAGACAACATTTACATGTTCATCCCAGTTGGCCTTTTCTTCTTTTTCTACAGCATAAACAAGCCATTAAAAGAACGCGTATTCAAGAAGCTACGTTGATTTTTCACAGCAATCCTTCATTCTCTCTTCGTCTGTGTTCCTTCTACTCTACTATTTAGTTAAATGCACTCACAAAAATAAGAATCTTAGCCCAGCCAACTTGATCAATGAATCTCTTTCTTTGCCAAATTGTGTGCAAATGTCGAAGGTATCGAAGAATCATAGATCATTTTATTAGAGATTTAAAGCCTACATAGCATGATAAATATAGTTTCTTAGCCTTTTAAGTTGCCAATGGAATAATAAATTTGCTTCGACTTTGTAAACCCAAAGATTCCGGAGAACTCAGAAACCTATCATAAACCGAGGGAGACAAGCTGCACAGAAAGATTCTAAAATGAGGAGTGCTCTTTTATTGATGTAAATTAATATCCCAACTTGTACCTAATTAATTCACAGACATCACACTTACAAGAAGAAATAGAAAACCAAACTTCTTAAATTTATATAAAAAACCAAAGTAGATAGTAGACAGACAAGCTTCTTAATTATATTAATATTGCACTCTAGATGAAAGAAGCTATTCAGCATCATAAACACAATATTGGTTGTTTCTGAACTTTTCAATTCCCTCAAAATGGTAAGCTCTTAGATGTGGAACTTGATGAAAGGGACTTGAAATGATGAGAAGCAACAAAATCTTGTGGCAAATTAGCTCTCTTCATCATTCTCTTCATGTTATTGTGCAAACTTTGTTGAACTAGTTGCCCGACTGCTTTCCTCTCTTCGCTCAACATATCGTCCTCCCCTTCGAATAATTCCTCTGATTGATGAGTAGGTGAAGGACCGCACAATGGAGCTGACAATCCTGATCCCAAGCCTCCCGAAACTTGCTTCCCTTTCTCCACTCTTAAACACTCCAATATCCTCGAAGCTCTTTTTTGTGCCAACGTGCTCCCTAGTAATGTTAATTCAAGAAGGGAGGAGGCAATTCCAGCCTCGATCATTGCCTGCCTATCTCCATAAGATTTGTGAACTATCACCATAAGAATGTACGACACTTTCTCTTGGCATGCTGGTGAATCCGTCCAATTCAATACATCAATTAGTATTGGAAAGGCATCAGGAACAATCCTAATTGCCTTCCTCCCCTCCGCAACTGACACTACGTTGCTAAGTATAGAGAGGATTCTTTCACTTGCATCCACATCTCCCAGCTTGCTCAAGAGAAGTGGTATCAGATCAGTCTCCAGCATCAAAAGCACGTTCAAAGGCAAGATGGAAAGATTGTAGAGTGCTCGCAGAGAGTCCTGTTTAGCTTGAGAACGAATTTCCTCTTTGAAATCTTTGAGAGTTTCCACCAAAAATGGGATTGCACCAGAAGAACCAATGATCGGTTTATTTGAATCGAGTGCACTCAATCCAAGAAAATTCGCTACAATTGCTTCAGCAACAGACTGCTTAGGTGATTCATCAGAAAATTTGACTAGCTTTAGCATCTTGTGGACAGCCCCTGCTTTAACAATAGCAGCTTTGTTTCTGAAGAAGAACAAATTTGACAAAATTTTGATCAACGTCTACATTACAGTCTGTCGTTAAAATAAAAGATAATAACATCATTTTCATGGCAGAGATACAGATAGCGATGGAGAAATCAATATAAAGATTGGGGCTATAAAAACAGTTGGAACTGCAAATTAATGCAGACCACAACAAAAAACAATACTAGAATATATGGAAAACGACATCACCAGACTTGCAGAATTTTTCTTAATACACAAAATTCGTCTAAAGAATAATGTAGGTAAAATGAGCAAAAGGAAAAGGAACACAAGTGTAATGTATAAGCAAAGAAAGTAAAGGGTACCGACGCATCATTGGCAATGGCGAGGTTAAGCAACGCATAAAGGGCGGTGATCTGAGTCTGAGAAGTGGGATCCTCCGCGTCAAGCGCCGCCACAAGCGGCGGAATGACGCCCAGAAGAGCTAGAGTGATCCTTGCCTCAGAATCTTCTTTTGTAAACCTCCTAACATCCCTCGCCCCCTCCAACACATTTATCTTCAATTCTTCCTCTGAGTTGCTCTCTTGTTGAAGCTTCTTAGCTACTCGTTTTAGCTCCTCCAATGACTCCTCCTTTTTCCTTACTTCATCCTCATTCTCCCTGCACTCGGGTTGCTTCAAAAGCTCCGACAACTTGTTGGATCCGGGTTGTCTCCTCTTTTCGGGTTTACTACTTGGCTTTTGAGGGATTCCGCCGCCGCAGCGAATGGCATTGATGATCTTCCGGCGGAATGAGGCACCGGAAAATGCCGACGAAAGCGTGAAATTCCGATCCAGCTCGACCGTTCCGACAACTTTGCCGCCTTCAACTTTGCCCATTGTTGCCCAACCCAGACATTTATCTTTTGCCACTCACTCTGGCACTACAGAAACAGAAACCCGAACACAAAATCTGCCTGCCCTTTTGCCGCAACAGTGAAAAAGCAAGAACTGTGCGTTTTTGTGTGTGTGTGTGAAGAGTAGCTAGTAGTAGTAGTAGCATCTAAAACGTCTCAATTTGTCTGCGTCCGATGGAATATATGGAAATTATGTTAGTCCAAACCACAAAGATGTAGCATCATATTTATTAATAATAAATAGGGGTAGGGGGACATAGGAGACTGAGTGAGTGAGTTAATGGGAACGGGTCAATATTTCTAGAGAGAGAAAGAGAGAGAGAGCAGTCGGTTTCAGTGCGGTGAAATTTTCTGTATAAAAACAAAAGAGAAGACTTAAAATGTGTGCTGTCTGAGAAGTGGGGTTATATATTTATATAAAATAATACATGGAAAAATGGCACAATTGGTCCCTAACCTTCTATTCCTAACATTGATTCTCACAACGTACAGATTTTGGGTGCAAAATGTCCGTTTCCATTTACCTACCACCCATGCAAAGCCCTTGTTTGAGCCTCGTTGTTTTGCCAAAATGCATTTTAGAATAATATTTTGTTGGAAAATATATGATTAAAAATTAAGAAAAAAATTCGATTTACGTGTAAAATTATTTTTATCGGGGAATATGTGATTTAAAATAAATTTAAAAAAAAGAATTTTTAAAAAAGTGGAGGTTAAACATGGGTATGGTCAAAACTTTTTATGTTAAAAAGATAAAGAGAAAAAGACCCATGTACAAAGATAAAGAAAGAAAAAGAAATACAAATGATTGATTTTCAACCATTTCTGATTGTAGCTATGTCAACAAGTCGAATCGAGTCGAAAAAAAAAGCTCGAGCACGGCTCGAGCTTTTTTGGACAAGCTTTTTTCGGGCCCAAGCCGAGCCGAGCCGAGCCGAGCTGAGCCCGGCCAAAATTTTTTTGACTCTACCTTGTAATTTTGAATGCTCTCATTTCATCCGTCCCAAAGTTGAAGTTCATTTTTGATTCCCCATTTTTAGGAAAAGTACTTCTACAAAATTGTATATTTGAGACAATTATTAAAGTGAAAATTATAAATAGAAAAACAATGTCAACAGAAGGAGATGGAACAAAGAGAAAAAAACAGAACATCGTATTTTAATATAATCACATTATTTGGTTACGAAGGATTTGATTTTATTAATAACGATGAATCATTTGTGACAAATGTTAGTGACTGTCACAAATAAATGATGCATTTCAAATAAATATGGGATTTCAGAAATTTTGCACAATTAATCATGCAAGTGTATAAACAGAT